GATAGATAGATAGATAGATAGATAGATAGATAGATAGATAGATAGATGTGATTTACAGTTGGGTATATGTATAAGCATGGTGTAGACTTTGGTATTCTCTCTGGTATTTTGGCATAAAACCCTTTAGGAAGTAAAACTTTTTTTTGTTTGCCACATTTATCTTTTAAATGTACCAACACCAAAAACGTTACATGTTCCGTCATTAATCTAAAAAGCTCATTTTGGATGATATTTAAGTTTATTATCACGGGTACTTTAATAAAATACAATTGAGCTGAGCTGGACTGTCAGTTTGCACATGCTGCTCTGCTTTGGCCTGTTGATACAGAGTCCCATGAGGGTCTTGTCACTCCAGCCAGCCTTGCCTCTTTTAACTTATCCTTACGAACCTTCTTCTCTCTGTCACTCACACACAGATCCAAACAACAGCTTCTTTTTGCTCCTCTTATCACACAGACTGACAGGGTCACCGGGTTAGAACCACACTGGGCATGCTCAGTCATTCACATATTGATATTGATTTTTTTTCTCTTCCTCGTTCTGATTTGGACAGTTTGTATGTGGGCAGGGAATAAAACGGGGGTCAAGATCGAGAGCAATAGATAGAATTCTGTCCGGTGATAGAGGATGGAGCCTTCCTCTGTCTCCATTCTCTGTTGCGAGCCGGAGTAAAGGAGCCCCACATCCCAGCGTTTCATTCTGGCTGCCATTCAGCCCCATCGATCTGACTCAGGGCCCGGCCGCCCCGAGGGAGACTGGGGCTCAGAGACACACACTGCCTCTTTTGTGGAGGGGATCCACCAGTTCAGACTGACAGCCGACAGCACTGATAAAAATACGTCCCCCGCCTTCCTGTATTGTCCACCACAGACATGCTGTTCAAGATGTGTAACCTTTAGAAAGCTGGCCAGACTCTAACCGTCATGCCGACGACTATAATCACCAGAAACTGGAATACTGCCCAAAGCGTCACACCCTTTGGCATTCTCTCATCTCTTCAGCCTATCTTACTGTATTATTTCCCACTGTGATAGTGAAGCCAGTTTTCCAGTGCTCTAATAATTTAGAAATGTCACCATACTCCACTGAGTCTCATAGGCCAATTACGGTAATGTTTCCCTTGTGTGTCTATAGTCTTGCTTTTGTACGTGACTTTGCCTCTAAATCACCGCCTCTAAATTATTTTGAAAGTTCTTTTAACCAAGGTGTGAAATAGCTCGTAGCGTGTCCTCCGTGTTTCACCCTGCTGACCTGCAGCGCCCTGTCATTTCTCTCCAGGGAGGAGAAGGAGCGCTGGATCCGGGCCAAGTACGAGCAGAAGCTGTTCCTGGTGGGGCTGCCCCAGTCAGACGTTCCTCTGGGTCAGCAGCTGCTGCGGGCAGTGGTGGAGGATGACCTGAGGCTGGTGGTGTTGCTGCTGGCCCACGGTACCAAGGAGGAGGTTAATGAGACCTACGGGGACGGAGACGGGCGCACCGCACTGCACCTCTCATGTGCCATGGCCAACGTGGTCATCACGCAGCTGCTGATCTGGGTGAGCGGGCTTCACTAAGTTTGAACGGGGTGATGATCCAGAATGGTTGTCATTTCTAAAGAATTTTCTATATTCTTTAAAAAAAATGTTTTCTAGTTTATAGATGTGTAGTGGAACTTTTTTTTCTAGGCTATTTGTGAGGCTGTGCTTGTACTGAAATACATTTTTAAACAACAACATGTCATTGGCAGTGTTGTCACATGGTCGTATACCATCACGGCACCATTGCGGCAGTACGTTCTTGCACCATTTCTTCTTTTCTGAAGGCAGAAGTAGCTTGCAAAAGCGTGTGCAAGGTGCACAAATGCGTTGGCACATTTAAGTCACAGACTGATATCATACATGGCTCTTTTCCTTGCAGCTAACTGCAGGTGGGCTCTGCAAAAACGTAGTTTTTTTTCTTCAGAAAAGTTACCACCGTCTCTGTCTGCAGAGTTCCACAGTGCAATGGCCACTTTTGGTACAAACACAGGAAAGCCATGTGTGGCTTGTTGGGTCTAACCTTAGTATTTGGATCCATTTCAAGAGGAGAGGAATCTTTTCCAGGGATTGTGGTCTTTTTCATGGAGTAATTTCCGTGGTACTGTTACACCTCAAGATTAAGGGGCTAGACAAGTTCCTGGGGAAGACATTTTGACACTCATTGGAAAGCTGTAATTTTAAGATCTAGAAGCTTTGAACCTTTGAGATGGGGCTGAAATGTCTTGTGTCAGTTGTCTCACATATAACATTCACAATAGATCTTAAAATCTGTTAATGCTAATGTGACAGGACTTCCATTTGGTGAGAGTATAGTGTAGAGTCAGTAAATAAAGATTAAATCATCAGTAAGCACCTTATATGTTGAAAAAGAGAATGGTAACAATTTAAAAGTATATTATGTGATTTGTAACATTTCAGAACCTCCCAACTTTTATGCACAAATACCTTACAAAAGGCAAATACATTTAATGTCTACCGTCAAGCAAAACAGTTTGTGAGCTGGTTTACATTAGCAGAAAAAGATTTAACTGAAGAAAAATGCAAATGTACTGCTGATTTTTACTGACAGGATGCTGAGATTATAGCACAAGATGAGCTAAAATCTCCATCAACAGAATGTTTTTAGCAGCAAATATGACCGTATTATAAACCTTTTGTGAGATATATCACCTTTGTCTCTTCCAGTATGGCGTTGACGTAAAAAGTCGAGATGCTCGCGGCCAGACACCGCTGTCCTACGCACGGCGAGCGGGGAGTCAGGAGTGCGCCGACATATTGCTTCAACACGGTTGTCCCAACGACTCCAACAGCCTGACCTCTGTTCCCACCCCCAACATGAGTCGCCGCAATCCCAACATCAACAACAACAACGCCCAGTGTGAGCTCAACCACAGCATCAGCATCATGTAGAAGCCATAAAGCAACTTCAGACAACAACACACAAAGCCACAAACACCCATTCCTAATACTTCCTCCTCTGTTTCTCACTGTGTAACCCAAGAATTAGTACCAATGGAAAGACATCAGGTGTATTGGACTCACTGTTTATAATCCACTGTGCTACAAGTTTGGGTTTTGGAAATTGTATATTGTTCATATCTCTCTCTCTCTCTCCCTCTCTCTCTCTCTCTCTCTCTCTCTCTCTCTCTCTCTCTCTCTCTATATATATATGTGTATATATATATATATATATATATATATATATATATATATATATATATAATGTTTTGTTCATTTTGTTTGTTTGATTTATTCAATCTTGGTCTAAAACGATCATGATCAGCTTTAAGCATTTTGTTTTTTAAGCATCAACCAAACAAATGGCTTACTTTGGCATTCATACCTACCCTACGAAAAGCATTTCCTTAATGCTTGAACATTTCCTTTTACGTCTTCCCCCTCTGCTATGTGAACTGAGTAGATAATGAGTGCGTCTGAGAAATTTCATTCCGATTGTAAAGCCTAACCATCACAACACAGAGCTGTATGGAATAGTTGTCCAAGTGACAAACACTGATGTGTGGAGAAAGAAGATCTTTCATAAATGTGATTGTTACAGCTTTCACAATGATGCATGTCTTACACCCGGCTATCAAACTCTTGACATACTATCTATATACAAAGGAAAAGCAATTATAGTTAAAGAGTCCAAATGATTTAGATACTTAATTCACAGGGAAATGGATTCAGATCATGATAAAGGAGTTGATTGCGCGATTCCTTTTGGGTGAAAGTGAGTCATTTCTTTTGCTACCCTTATCACAATTCTTCTTTAAAAGTGTCTGTGACCATAAACGAATTAAGGGGCACAATGTTTTTATTACCATTAAGCCACATGTCTTAGTAAGCGTGCCTCTTCAATCAGAAATCATTCAAAGGTTGATTGAAACTGTGAAATTCTACCATTATGATGTCTTTGTTGGAATAATTTCCCGATTGACTAGATTGCGTGGATAATTGTTTGATACAGATTCACATGCGTTCAGACCGTACACATCCTGGAATATTCCTTCATTTCCTGTGGTTGAAAGATGTAAAATTGGCACTGTAAAGATCATATCCTCTGTTTTTTGCTGTGAAATACATTTGCGGTACTGTGTGTGTGCGTGCACTAAACTGTACGATACTTTGATGCCTCCGTCTACGTCGGTGACCATGTGCTGCAGAGAGCACCTGGGCATTTCCAGTACTCCTCCTCATAAAGGACACTGGAAGACAAACAATTAAAGTATAGTTTGGGAACATGACTGTGTTTCAGTGTACAGATATCTGTAAAAAAAAAAAAAAAAAAAGTAGTCCTTGTTCCTTTGCCTTATTCCTGAATAGAAAACATAAGACTTTTAGAGTTGCTATAAAACAGTGTTTTCTGTTTTCTTGAACCTGCCCTGTCCAGATATCCCATCAGCCTGAAAGCAGGGAGATAGCAGGATGCATTTATGTGACTGAAGCGTGGGTGATATAAGGGATTCATATCTGCAAAGACGTTCATAGAGGGAAATATAATTAGTTTTCATTTATATAAGTGTACAGTATTCCACAGATATAAGTCAGTACCTTCATAGTAAATATTAATTTGGGTAACAGAGGACCCCTGTGTGTTATGCAAATGCCATTTGTGTTTTTAATTTTTTAAACATCTTGATTTTATGGGTTTACAAAGCCAGGATGTGTGTTTACAGAACAACTCATGACCTGGTACCTTTTCTGCATGGTTTTGTTCATTCTTTCTGTTTGCAACGCCAACTGAAAATTCAAATGTGGTCGAAAGAGGAGATTTGTGGATAGCAATATTGTTAATTAAGTAGTTTGATATTTTTGTAAATACTGTTTCCTCTTTTTGCTTAAACCTGGTGTAGGCAAAGAAAAGTTGAAAATCATGGTGACAGGTACATCCACCCTCACTCCTGTAGCTCTGTCCTGTGTCAGATGCACACGCTTCATTCATTACATTAACATAAGCTGCCAGACTTTGGCTAAATTGACAGTAAAATGCAATGTGGCCTCAACCTACTCTGTTTTCCACACAGTATACCTACATAGTCCATAAACCACTACAACCCAGTTAGACTATAGGAAAATGTTAGCAGTGAAGAACAGTAAGCTGTGAATTTAGTTTCCGTTAGCTATAACTCTGCTGACGTAATTCAGTGATGTAGTTCAGTAGTTTTTCTGAAGCCTGAAAACAAAGCAAGACCATGTTGCCAAAATCATACTGATTATTAGACTTTAGAAATAATGGATGAAAACTGGTAATGGAATGTTGGCCCAGTTTTGCCACACTCATACTGTCTACCCCAGGTTTAAAAATGAACAGTTTTGTGTCTGTATGTGCAGAGTTTGACCATTTTTACAGATCACGCAAACTCTTTATTTTTCACTGCAGAAATAATGAGGCCTTGAGTTTAATCCTTCCTCAATACTTTTCAAATGACCTCCATATCTACATTTACATTTACATTGATCTGTTTAGCAGACGTGTTCATCCAAAGCGACTCAAACGGATACAAGAAAAAGCATCTAAACCCTCCACAAGAAAGTGAATATTTTCAAAATGTTGGCTGATTATTTTTTAGAGGCCCATAAAAGTCATCAGTCATAATTTAGCCTTATTTTATTGTATTTTTTGTTTTCATACTGTACTGTGATACTGGCCTTATTTCTGATTTACTTGACCAACTTGTTTAGATGGGGTTCGATTTGTGTACAGTGATTACCCGAAACCTCATTTACATACTTTTGTTGACAAGAAAAGACAACAAAACTACAGACCTTTCTGCTCTACCGCTCACACAATACAAAGTGTAAATATTAGCTTAACTATTTAGCTTTTATCTGAAGTAAAGCTCCTCCCTGAGATACAAACTGAACTGATTCCTCTTGAACCATACACATATTTTGATAAGTTTATTTGTTTATCTTTATGCATATTTTTTAATGTATTTCTGTTTTGGTCTCAACATTAACCGACCATCTTTGGTACTTGTGTATAATGATGTACATTTGACATATTTATAATGCAGTATGTAAATATATTTTTTCTGTTTGTTTTGTTAATTTTCCTATTGTGTTTCCTTTTACGTTCAGAACGTGAAACAAAGCAAAAGCTAAAGAGTAACATGTTGTACGCTTGGATGCTCGGCTGACTGTTGACCTATTAATAAACACTCAAATAAAACAATGTAGCCTTCCCTGAATTTAGGGGAAATGACGCATTTGTCTTGTGTATGTATTGTTCACTCACCTCCCCCATCGTGCTCCCATTGTTCCTGGAAGTGTTGAGGCCTTGGAGACGAGGTGAGACTCTCTTTCAAAGTAAGTTTCATTATCACTTCAACAAGTGCTGTCATTTCATGTCCTCTTTTGCATGTTCCTTCATCACACTCCTCGTCGGAGGAAACTCAGCCAGGCCCGTCTCGAGGTAAGCAAAGCATCCTCTCCACTTCCTGCCCGCCGGACCCCCAACAGTCGCTGAAAGAGGATTAAGATAAAGAGCCGAGCTTAGTGTCAGGCAGCACAACACTGTGGGGAAAACCGAAAGATCCCAGTGTTCAGAGGAGTCAAGCCCTCACTAATCCACTTCTTATTTCCTGCTAATCTTGTCTCAGCATATCTTCATCCCCTTCCTTTCTCTGTTGGTCAGCTTTGTTTGCGCTTTATCACCTGGTCTGTCTTTAGTCGGCCTTTTTCTGCATCAGTGCAGGCTCAGAATGAAAGATCCAGAGTCACGCTTAGAGGCTCTGAAAACAAATTTCCTTAGTCAGCTTCCTCAGTGGAAATAAGGGAAGATTAGTTTGTGTATTTTCCTCTGTGGTGTCTGCATTCCTAGTTGGAAGGGTGCAGACTCGTTAATGTAAGATTAAGTAACATACAGTGTTTCCGCACAAATGACAATTTACAGCATTTGAAAAAAGATGTCTGGGTGCTGTAAACTAAATCAGATCAGTTTCACATGAATTTGGTCTTATGTCTGCATCCTCCTTAAAAACGGAACTTAGTTAGGGATGTGTAGTTTTGGACACAGGCTTTTTAGCTGACACTTTCTTTTCATTTTATCTTATTTTTCCATTTGCTAAAATATTTGGAATAAAATTGAAAAGATGAAGTTAGATTACAGTTCTGACAGTAAACTGAAACTGAGAAAACACAAGAAATATGTTTTTTTACATACAGCATGGACGAAATGAAAATAGATTAAATGAAAAAATACTTTATCTAAAAGTTTATTTGCATTCTTGAAGTAGTAAGTCATGAGCCAAAGATAGTTCATGTTTTGTCTCTCATCATTTTTTTTTCTAAATGTGTCCCTGATTACAGGCACACAGCACATTAAAAAAGGTTTTTACCACTTTGTACTGTTCTTTTTTTCAACCTGGATATTTTGGCATTAATATATGATTGGTTAATGATATTCAGAAATCAGATGCCCATACCAGTCCAGTGCCCATACACACTTCTCCCAAAGCCAAGCCTTTGCGAGCCTTAGAATATTCTATTATTGAAACAGACACAGATGTTTGTGGAAGAGTCTGCATACGTCGCTCTAAAATCTTAGGGAAATTTCTATGTTTTTGGAGCAATCGCAGAAATGTAAATAAGCTTCAGCCCCATACAGACAAATTTGGGATTTTGAAGTTGACGCTGATAACTGTGGATGTCGTGTTTATGCCTTTGATCCTCTGGGTGGTCTCTGGTTTGGAGTAAACCGACTTTATGTCTTCCATAAACGATCACGAGCACTTATTGTTCCAAGCACTTTGCAATAGTGTACTCTGAGCACATTTTTGTCAAAAAGAGGGGCAAAATAGTACCACAAGTATGTCTCCTGAGGTACCTTCTCAACTTATGTACCTTATATGGCTATTTCTGTATCTGATAACCCCAAGGCAAAAATAAAGGCAAGTACTTTTCGAGCCCCTGAAAAGTACATTTATGTTCCCAATAAGTAAATGGACAAACTACATGGGTCTAACAGCAGGATCTTTGAGGTAATAATGATAGCACTATTATTACTAGTAGTTTTTTTATTTTTTTATTTCACTTACTGTACTCTAACAGTGAGGAATGGATGTGTTGCTCTTCACTACTGAAATTGGGGGGGGGGGGGCAAGTTTTTTTTTCACAGCATTTTTCATGGGTTGCTGTGCTGGGTATCAGGTTTATAAACACATTCCTCAGGGTCGTACAAAGGTCTGAATTTGAAGGCCTTTCTCACCCTGAGCTTAGCTGCAGTTTTCTCAGTAAATTCCTCTCGAGAAATTCGACCAAAACTGAAAACAAAAAAAAAAAGAGGCATGATGAAAGCCATGTCCTCTCACTCATTACTGTGCCTGTCGTTCGTGCAGACCCCGGCCACTCGTGTTTGTTGTGGGGAGACTGGAGCACTTGCTTGCTCTGCTGTGTGTTTTGATATTTCATCAGGGCCTACTAAACAGTGAGGAGGGCTCTCCGCCGCCCACTTCTTCTCAGACAAATTGCCTCCAAGATTGCAGAGGTGGGTCTGAGGCTGATGGATGGGTACACAAAGACCTGACGAGACCATATTTGCAAACATTAAATCCATATTTCCATAACACCTCGGAGCTACTTTAACAGGGGCCACTTTAGCGGCGTGTTTAGCAGGCACTTAATAATGTGTCCAGTCCGGACTTGGATGTTGCATCAAGGTGGCCTTTAACAGTCATTTGTCCTACATGTTCATTACCGCCTGTCTCGATCTGGATATGTTAGCATTGCTCCATGCTTTTTCCCTCCTTTTTTTCACCCCTTTAACCTCTTTACCAATAATTATATCCACTCTGCTCTGCTTAGTCTCATGATCTCTCCTCCCTGGATTCCCTACAGATTCCCACATCCATTTATCAATTTCAGCTTTGTCATGTTTGAGCAGTGCTTCCATGTTGCTCTCTGCCCTCTCTGACTCCAAAGAACTTGTCTCAGTGATTATCGCTACATCGGCACACTCCGTTGCATATTTCCCTGCGTTTCTGCGTCTCCAGCGAACCTATTGGAGAATCATTGTATCTTCCTCATCACCCCCGTTCACTCCTTTGTCTTCTATAAATGTTCTCTTCCCATCACCTTCTCTCATTCTCCCTTTCTCATTTTTCCACTCTCTTTCCCTCCTCTTCCCTGTTGGCTTTTGCCTGCATTTTGCTGTTAATTTGCCTGAGAATGCATTAGCTGTAATGAAGGCTGAGGGCCGAGGGAATCCTCCAGGGTTCCATTAATCATCCCCCCTCAGACAGGCAACCTTGATTACAAGTGGCAAGAAATTCATTAGAGCCGGGCCTCTGACAACTCTTATCTCCGCCACTAGATCTGACTCATTAGGCAGCCAAATTAAAGCTATGATGGCCCTGATGAAACTCATCGCTTGTTTATCTTGTGCGATTTGATGCATCTGCCCATACATCACTGTAGCCACAACCGTCCGGACCCTCCCAAGAAGTCAGGCCTCCGGTCGGCGCTGGAACAGCCCGCACACTCACAATCGGCCCGTAATGAGGTTCCCTCGCTTTTCTCTCCCTCTCTCTATCTCTCTGCAGGTTGGAGAGAGAAAACAGTTACAAGCCTGGAAGGAACCTCTGATATTTCAATTTGAGATTGCATTGGGAGGATGTGACGCTATAAACGAAGGGGATATTCCAACGAGAAAATGTCAAATTTACAAGGGACTGTATAAAAAAAAACATTGTAATAGGTGTCCCTGTCAATTGAGACGAGCAACAAAAACTAATTCTAAAAAAAGGAAAAAACATTCTGGAGTGAAGTCAGTGGCTGAGCTGTGCTCCTCATCATCATCGCCTCCACTGTGCAGCTCATGGGGACTGAAATAGCAGTTGCACTGTGGCACAATGTTGTGGAATTGAGCCTCTATATTAAGTCAGCTCTTGTGCCATAATAAAACTTCCCACTGCTCCTTTCGCACGGCCATCACTCCTTGAATCCCCATCCAAGTGTCACAGTTTTGATGTATGAGGTGGAGGGTGAAATAAACTTTACTACTCATGGGCGCTCGGGTCATGGAAGGCCTGTTTATGCTCTGAGGTCAAACTGAGATTAAACGTGTTTTAGGATGTGTCCATGACGAGCCGGGTGGAAATGAAAAGCAAACGAATGCTATCCCATTGTGTTCAAATGCCCCATGTGGTGGCTGAAGACTTAACTCTGAATCGGATATCTGAAGTATCTGCCTCTCAGCACACTTCAGAGAAGGCTGCTGTGAAAGATTAAATGGGGTTTGAGCTCCGAGTCTCTTTTTTTTGGGAGGCAGGGAGACCAATCGCTTCCTTCCCTCTGAGGTGATGTGAAAATATTCCAGCATGAGACTTTTCTGGAAAGAGTTCAGAGAAACCAGAGCCAGAGGTGCTGCACACATGAAAGTTTTTATGTAAAAACACCATGGCCCACTTTTCTCCTTCCTGAAGGCGATCAGATATTATTCCAGCAGCAGGTTATTTAAATACTAATGTGTGTTACTTCACATTTCAGCTTCCACTTATCAAGCTTTCCCGTTTATGTGCTGCCAGGTGAAATTTTTCATTTGAAGAAACTAAAGAACTTCCAGTCTTTAATTGGGGGGTCTTTACATTACTCCAAATTTAATCAGGATTTTCAAAAATATAATATTAGACACATCAGACCAATAACCCACAAGTATTGATAATATTCCTGGAAATGTCAAAGGAAATCTCTAGATTGAAATATTCTGACTGGTTTATGCTTCAAAAGGGAAGGGGGGATGAGAAATTTAAATAAAGCTTAAGTCTTCTTTGAGATTTAATTGATATCATTCTCAATTTGAATTACCTAAATGGTTATTTTTCCATGAAGGTGTGTGGGGGGACGTTGGTCTTTGGGCCTGAGCTGACTGATGGAGAAGTTCATTACAGTGTGTTGAATGTGCTCAGTAATGAGCATCCCTCAGACCGCTTTAGACAACATGGCCTCCTAAAGAGAAATCAATCATTGCAGCTATTTAAAAAAAAAGGAGCCATCTACCTTTTCGGTCCTTACGTCTCTGAGAAAAGTGTCATTCGTAACAGTTTTCTCAAAAATACATAGTCCAAAGCGAACTTTTCAGCACAAGCGCTTTAAATTTCTTTAAAATAAAACAGGTCCGTTTTCTGGTAAACTATTTGAAAGATAAAGACAAGAAGGAATAAAAAGTATAAATGGTATATAAGTTAATTTGATATAATATTATCTTATTTGAAATATTCTTCAACCAGCCTCGTGACATTGTTTTCTTTAAAACAATTTTAGGTCACACAGTGGAGGCCATCATGAATTCATCAGGATAAAATAATCTAAAACATTTCAGTAACCATGGGCCACGTAATATTCGTCACGCCTTAAACCTGTTCTGTAAATAATAATGATTCAACTTGGATTCCAGCTTTTGTATAAAGCGATTTATTAGGTCAATTGTATTTTACAGTTGTCCCTTGTTGGTTCGTTATTTCCTTCACATATTTGTCCCCCACAAATAGCTCTCCAAGGTGCTTCCTACACCTGCCAAACAAAATGTAAAACATCTTCAATTACATGCAAACGTGGTCAACAAATCGTACGAAACATAAAATCAAGAATTTGTTCACCAAATGAGGACATGCACAGAAACAACAGAACGTTTTGGCCCTACATATAAATACTTAGAAAATATTTACAGTTACATCTCTTAGTGCCCATTTGTATCTTGTTTTTTTAAACCCAATATTTACATATCCACATGATAATAAATAACGATGACAACATATTGCCAAAGACTTGACTGTTTGTGAGCAAGTCCACAATCTCACCTCTCAGAAAGAAAGAAAGAAAAAAACTCAATCCTCCTTTTTGTGCTTCATGCGTTCGAGAAAAAAAAAATCTGTAGAAGAGTCACTATAAGTGTTTATATTATTCATATTTTCTGATTTTTTTTTCGTCTGAGTTCACGGTCTGGTCCCCTGCTCTATTTGTTGGTGCTGACTCCTCACGGCGAACCTGTTGACGTGCACCGGGATGGGAACCACGATTTTGGGATTCCTCACCGGTTCTCCCGACCGGTTGTTGACGTTGCCGGCTTTGATCCGTTTCCACTTGGCCCTGCGGTTCTGAAACCAGATCTTCACCTGCACCTCGCTCAGTTTGAGTGCGTGCGCGATCTGCGAGCGTTCGGTGAGGGAGAGGTATTTTTTACAGTGGAACTCCTTCTCCAGCTCCAGCAGCTGCTCGCTGGTGAAAGCCGTTCGTCTCCGCCGGCTCTTCCCCGCCGAGCTGCCGGTGGGCAGCGCCTCCTGAGAGCCCGTTTTCAGTTTGCTCTTCTGGGACAGGGAGCCGCAGTTGTTCCCGTCCGAGAAACTTTCGTTCTCGCTGTCCGCGGAGCTGTCCTCCCGGTCGCTGCAGACGGCGTCTGCGGATTTTAGGTCCAGCTTCTCGTCGTCCGAGCTGTACAGTTTGGTCTCACCTAAAAACGCGAGAAGGAGGAGAAGGCACTTAATGTCTGAGCTCAGTAAATATTTTTTATGCGCAACGTCCCCCAAAGGGTCTAAAAATCAATCTGACAGTCAAGAAAAATCCTCATAAAATTCTGGTGGAGACAAACAAACAAAAACAAACAAGTCATTTTAAGTCAAAGCGAGTCTGTATAAATGTTCAGACATTTGTTTTTTCTGTAAGTTTTCGTAAGAGTTTGCTACTTTTGGCAACTGCTAAGAAATATTTTAGTTTACATCGAAAGTATAACGTTTTTTTCTCCAGAGGGCCAATTCATCCAAAAGCTGCCATGGGGAGAAAAAATCTAATGAAAAGAATTAAACACCCATCCTTTGTCAAGTTTATTCCATAAGGTGTCAGAACACGATTGCCTACCAAATGTGACAGAACTGAACTTACAAAAAAAACTTACATGGACTAACGAGCTGTGCTTTTACGCATTTTACGCACACGTTGTGTGCAGCAGCTTGAGCTTTCAAACGGGACCGAAAAGCGCCAACCACAAAATCTGTCAAGCTTACCTGATATTGTTTGGAAAGTTTCTGAGAAGTTCAGCAGGTCGGAGCTCTTGTCCCGGCTGTGCAGTTCTTCAGAGTGCGGACTCTCCTGCCTCCTCGCCCCCGGGTCTGCGGCGCTTAGCCTGGGACCGGGCAGTTCCTGCGGTGGGTAGAAACTGTCCGGGGGATCCGAAAAACTCGGCATCGTGGTGGTGAGCGCGACCATGGAGGGCACTCCCTGCCCCAAACTTGCGCAGAACGTGTTGGTGAGCCTCCCCGCGAACGAAGCCAGCGGCGCCAGTGGAGGTATACCGGACGATAAAGGCGAGTGGGATAAAGCTTGCGGGATGACCAGAGGTCTGTACGGCATGAACATGGGGTAGCCCGTGTAGAGCAGGTGTCCCGGTCTGGGCTGAGGGGTCCCTATCAGGGAATCGATTGAGAACGCGGTCCCTTGACCGCCCGGTCTCTGCATTTTCGCAGGCAAAAAAAAACAAACTCTTGTGTTCGTCGAGAAGTTGACAGCAGACGTCCTCTCCTCTACCACCGGGCAAAAACTTTCAGGTTTAAACACACAGTGGGTTGAAAGTAGATCCTGTGGCGTGTTGTCATCCCTGGGAGTGGACTGCCTCTCCGGATCTGTGCACCCTACGCGTCAGTCAGTCAGCCGGGCGCTTTGTTGTGTGCCCAAGCGCTACCCTCTTTTTCCCTCTTATTTGTCACACACTGAGACATAAACACACGCTCTCTCTATCTATCCACCTCCCCTCTCCGCGACTCCTCCCTCCCTCCCCTGTCCGAGGCACGGTGTGGGCGCTCAGGAACAGGGCGAGAGCGCATTGGTTATCATCTGCCATACAAGGGGAATGAAAAGGGGGTGTTTCCCCGGGGGCTCATCCATCTTCCTCAAATTACGCTTCATTTCCTTATTCAGGCTCTGACTTTTTGGCCGTCTTGAGAGGCGGTAGTTTCCCAGTGGAGACCAAAAAGACTACTCCCCCCCCCCCCTCCCCTCTTTTGCCAGGTTCACCATTGACTGCGAAAACGGTCTGAGAGACTGCTCCAGCCCTTCCCCTTCTATAATCGTTGACCACACCAACCCAATCAGCTATTATTAATTTTGATTGATGATAAGTAATTACTCTGGATTCAAGGGGGACAGCGAAAAAAAACAACGGTGGCTTTTGTTGGAATATTGGGGCCGATGGGGCATCAGAGTCAGGAGGGAGGAGAGGCAGATGTTTCCCCGCGCGCTCTCCCATTCTTCCCGGCCCCCAAAAACAATGCGTTAGGCTTCAGAGAGAGGAGTGCTGCAACAATTGTTCCCTGGAGAGAGATACTCCGGGCGAAATTAGATACAGATAAAAAGACACTTAAGGGAGGTCATCTGCAGTGTGGAAACGGACACGCTGTGGCCAAAGTCAAATTGAGTGGCTTTCCACTTTCGTGGAGGGCGAGAAAAATGATTCGACCATCAGTGATAAAACTAAATTCCAAACCTTAAACAACTCTTGCTGTACATAGCTCAATATCCAAATTTATATATCCAAAACACAAATGTATCATCTTTATATATATATATATATATATATATATATATATATATATATATATGTATTTATTTATACAACCCAAATAATATATATATACACAATGCCATTGTATAGGATTTGTGTCTGATCGAAGATGCATGTGGAGAATAAAAATCACTCTGCTCTAAGAACTGGTTTAATCGCAGTTTCACCTTTTAAATGGCAATGGGAGCTGATGATGATTAGCCCTATTGAGTCCTGGGTGCCCATGCTCTCCAACTGGTCGTCTGATTGCACGAGGACATAAACATATCACCACCGACTCTGATTAGCTGTGGAGGACCAGGGCAGGCTAATTCTTATAATTGCAAGTGACTTCTGCAGCACCTCTCTTTGATCTATTGAAACCAGTCTTCGCCCTTTTCCCATTTTTTCGTCTGCTTGTAAATGGCTGCTCTTTGCCCTTTTTTACAACTGAATTTCAAGTTATTTTAATTTGATCTAAAAATGCACTAAGTAAAATTGAGAGTGAGACCAGTTTGTGTTCAAATGGATAAATTGTTTAAAATGTTTTATTGACTGATTAATTAATTTTGCGCTTAAATATTTTAAAACATTTATCAGTGGATAAATATATTTGTTTTTAAGGAGGGGGGATAAAACACTATCAACATTTCATAGAATTTCAATTTCCAGATGACTTCAAGGAAAAGGACCGTTTACATACTTATTATCTGCCACGTGAAACGTTGCCACAATCTCCAAAACTCAAATGTTTGACTCAAATCTTACGAATGATGTTTTTGATAAAAGTAGGAAACCAAAAGCGCTTACACAATTTATTTAAGGATTCTTTATTGTGATTGAAACAGGAAAACAACGGCACTGACACAAAACAGAAAAAAATATGGAAAGAGCAAACAATAAAAAAAGATTAAAAAATCAGATGAAGTGGTCTCAATGGTGTATTCTAATTTATACCAAGCGTAATTTTAAGAAAGTCTCTTAAATGTAATTGTCTCTGTGGGGAAAATATGTATTTATGCAAACAAGTCAAGTCTTTAAAGTACAACACATAATTATTGTGCGCATCACCATCAAACTATCGCAGTTATTGTGTATAAAAATACATTTCAAGCTGATTAACAGTTAGAAAATAAGTGAAAAATCATCTAAATCATATAAAACAGAAAACTGCAAATCCTCACTTGTAGTCTGTAGCGCCCTCTGGTGGTGCAGACTCACACTGTTGTGTAGTCAGAAGAATAAAGGTGACTGGATGTACGGCAAAATGTGCTGGCAATATATGTGTCATTAAAAGCTAAACACAATATAATTGGAAAAAACAACTCTTTCACATTTAGCAGCATAATTCCTCGCCAGACTAGACATCAAAGTGCTTTTAGTTCATATAACCTCTGTATTCTAGGAGCAGGTAGTTCTTGATGAAGGTAGGAAGGTCAAGTTTTGGGACAACTTTGATTATCCGGCCCTCCAGAAAACTTCTGAGCTTGCAGCGAGCCAAGTGCTGCAGAGAGCGAGGAGTCCTCCTCAAGGAGAAGATCGACTCGTAGAAGTCTTTGTGCTTCTGTTGGATTAAAAGAAAAACTGACATAAATCTATGAAACTGAAACACTTCATAATTTCATGATAGTTTCATCATCTAATATTTACTATTACAATTATGGGTTTGTGTGATCTTCTGTGATAAAAAATGAATTGATCGGAAAATACTTTATCTGCATGTGTTTAGTCTCAGATGCAAGAAAAAAATCATACAGTCTGATTGGGAATGGAAATACTGTAAATACCTTGCCTACATTTTGAATCAAAAAGAAAAAAGAAATACATTAATTTAATTTAACTTATAAATGAACGAGTTAAACGGATTACCTGAAAAGCACTTTCAGACACAGACTCAACCCAGGTATCTGTGATTTTCAGTTGACTGTAGGCGTTCAGGAGAACTTCGATGGTGCGTGGAGATTCTGAACAGCGCTTTAAAACCTGGAAAAGAAACACCACGAGTCAAAGCAAAGCAATCAGATTTGTACAATCTCCTTTGAGTGCACCAGCAAGCTGGTGACTGAATAGAACTGTAGAAATAAAGTAATTAAACACTTGTGAAATGAACAGATTGGTCTTCCCTCCAGGGGTTTAACTGGAAATTATGCAATTAGTGCTAATTAATCTCCTATTAACACTTGCCTAATTAGGAACCAAGCATTTTGTCTGGTGCACGTGGGTTCACTGATAGTTGTAGTCTGTTTCCCGCAGAGTGCAACACTTCATGTTGTGTCATAAGATGGTAATGATTTGAATGTTAACTTGCAAAGTCTGCATTGAACAGTGGAGGGTTTCAAGAATCTCAGTCAAGGTGTTACATGTGCAGCACTTGCTAATTACGGAAAATGAGCCACCTTGATGAATAATTGGTTCTGACTTGAAGCATGTTATTTTGCTTCCAAGCAATCTGCACATGCTTGAGCGCACATTTCTTTCCAGACAACTTTTCAGTGTTCTACCGTGGGGAGGGCTCCGGGCCACACGCGAATGGATCCGTGGTTGAGGAGGGCGCGCACGATCCTCTCGGGCTCATGGGCCACCTTGTAGCACACCACCTTCAGGACGTTGTGCATGGGGGCCTCGCCGCCGTAGTCCATCTCGTTCACCCAGGCGCCTCTGGCCAGCAGCAGGTCCACTATGTCCGGGTTCACGTTCTTGCAGGCCATGTGCAAGGGAGTGTGTTTGTCCTGGTCCGCGGTGTGGACGTCGGCCCCGGCCTCCAGCAGCGTGCGGCACACTCTGAAGTAGCGCCCCAGGTCGTGTAACTCCTGAGGTTGGGAACAGGCCGCGTTCAGGGCCGTCAGACCCTCGTTGTTCCGTTTGTCCAAAGCGGCCCCGTAGCGCAGGTACAGCTCCACGTGGTCTTGAAGGCCGTTCCTGGCCGCAACGTGTAAAGGAGTGTCGCCCTCGTCCACAGAGCCACCGCTGATCGCAGCGCCGTATTGGAGGAGATACTTAGCACATCTGGTCAAAGAATTACAAGAGATAAGATGAATTAGACCAATTGTTTTCCACACTTCCAAACGTCAGTTTTCCCACTCCGTCCAATTTTCAAAATTTACAAATTTTTAAACATTCAAGCCGCATGTCCTGCAGCATGGACTTTGTTTCCTCACATGACGGCTGAATAGGAAGACTGACTAAATCATTGAAGAATTTTTAAGCTTTAATCTGCCGTACTCACTCGAGGGATTCAGGACTTGTGCAAACGTGCAGAGGCATGAGGCCGTCCTCAGAAACGGCGTTGGCGTTGGCGCCGTGGACCAGCAGCAGCTTGGTGCACTCCGGCTGGCAGTTTTCGCAGGACTCGTGCAGGGCGGTGGTGCCCCCAGGTGCCAGGTCTACATTCGCCCCTCGTTGCAGCAGGAGTTTCAGACAGTTTGTGAAACCCCGACCAGCTGTGATGTGAAGCGGTGTTGTCAGCTCCTGCTCGTAAGTCAGTGACCACAGTCCTATAAGCACAACGAGCACGAGGTCATCTTAGGGTTTTAGCGTTAGCAAGGTCGTTAGTAAGCAGCAGACATGAGAAAAATATTAGTTTAGCTGACTAACAACTCAATATACTCAGTATATTGAATCTTTACATTTCAGCCCCTCTCCCTGAGGTCAGTTAGACATCATTGTTCTCACAACCTACTTAGGCATCTGTAGTTAAATCTGAAGTTCTTCCACTCCTCTAAATTGCTGGTGTCGTAAATGGCATGGACGAGGTAGTTGTACTCATCGTCGTCCACAATGCTGAGAATGGTCAGCTCATCCCCTACGAGCAGAGAGTTCCAGAACTGCAGGACGCAACCTGTGGCCTTGGCTGTGGCGATCACATCTTCTCGGTAGTTCTTCTGCTTGTGCCATCTTATTTTAGGTGCCATGTAAGCCATGTCCTAGGCAGTTTGTCTGTGTTTCATGTGAATAGGTTGGGAACTTTCGAGCGAAAGTATCCCTTGGGCAGGTTGTTTGCTCAGATGGGGCTATTTCTGGGAGGTGATACGTGATATTTTGGCTGACCCCGTGAACTTCGCCAGTTTGGTTACATATTGGCCAATAGCTGATGACTGCGAAATATTTGTATCCTGTTTTTAAAAAAATGTAAAGCCAAGGGTTAATGTAATTCTGGAATAAGATTCATTAGTGAGAGATTATTTTAAATAAACGCCAAATCATCAGCTTCAAACGCAATTTCATGATGGCATCAACATTTTTAACCTACTGTCCTAGAGATTCATATTGAGTAAATAACTGAGGCTGTAAGCAGAAACTGACAAAGAAACCTTCAAAAGCAGCTTCTTTATTCTTTTTTCATATTTGAGTATGAATTACAAATATCATGTAAAGAAACTAAAAACTAAGCATGACCCTGCAACGTTTTATGGTTTCTATTAATATTGCCACATGATCGGGTTCCATAGATATCGTATTACTGTTACTCTGAGCACTTGGGATGGGACACTTTCATATGCAGGCAAATTCTAGGCTATTCTACAGAAATATCACAACCTTCCAGTAATACCATGAGAAAATAATTGTTCAATAGATTCTTAATGAAGACAGATGCTGTCTCTTACCTTCTCCCCGGGCAACCCAGCGCATTTCCCCACCCTGGGGCTCAATGACAAAGTTAGCCGAAGATCCTCGTGGAAAAAGGCGCTGCATGGCCTCGTGGTCTCCTGTGTACAATGCGTTTTGAACAACCACATCTTGGCAGATAGCTGGTGGCCGGGCAGCACCGGGCCTCAGCAGCGTTCTGTCTGTGGCCTCTTTCTTGAGCATATAGCTACTGAGGTGATAGGAGCCGAGCTGTCTCTTGTACTTGTCCTTGTCTAGCATGTCCTTGTCTTTTTCAAGAGAACGCAGGGCCATGGGAGAGAAGACAAAGCTGTCTCGGGACATGCTGACAGGCTCACCTCTCCTGGAGAAAAAGTGTTTCTGTAAGATCTGTGTGAGTTAGTGAGATAGGCTGTCCAGAAGGGCCTGTCTCACTATTTCTGTTTTTGTTGTTGAACACTCTCTGGCGGCTGTCCACTTTGTGCCTGCAGGCTGTTCACAGGGTTGGTTCACAGAGTTGTTTTGATATTTGGTACGAGACCCTCCCTGCAGCGTGACAAGCAGGGTTATTTTTATGTCTCACATGCAGCCGCTCATAGCTCTCCTGTATGCCTTTAGCCAGCCTGTAAAGCCGTCTGTCTGGCCGCATGTAAGTGAGTTCAAGCTGTGTTATTTTTTAGATTGTAGGACAACGATTTATAATTTTCACATATTTCAGATTTCAAATCAACATGTAAAAGTTTACAACATTTTAGCAAATGGGAGTACTACTGCTGTGTATTTATTTTAGCGTAAAGTGTAAACATGAGCCCCCATGAAAAAGAAATCTGGGCTGTAATTAAAAAAGAAAATCCGCATCATGTAAACATTTAGGGCTTTTGGGTTCAAATTTTCTTGATATTTATGTTAGAGCCAGTGAGAATACTTTAATTGTAAGCCTCTACGAGTGGCTTTCAAAATGTCTTTTCCTGCTAAGTACTTTTCCCTATGAGCTTTAATGGATTTTCTGTATCCACATGGCTCTGCGTTAGAACATTAGGCTGAATGACTGGCAACCACTGTGTCACTCTGCCCCACGTGTAGCGTTGTGATGGCAGAGGGACGCCGCATAATTAAGCCTCTTAAGCCTACTCGCTAGGCATCTGATAAACATCTCTTTTGACTGATGAACGACCATTTTCCAGTCTTAGCAAAGCAGCCTCATGAACACGGAGGGTATGTTTTCGTGGCTGGAATTGATGACAAAATGACCTTTGAGTTTTTACAAAGCCAATCAACTCGTTTGGATATGACCATCTAAATGTTTGACACACAACACATCGTGGCACACATTCAAAGACCTGGTTATCCGCTTTTGCCACCAGGATCCCTCCAAGCTCTATAGAATGCAAGGTTCGAGCTACAGGTGGAGAAACACATGGGTTTTACCATATTTTGCATTTGGAAACTGAGAGGCGTAGTTGCGTGTCCTCTATACCTTAACGACTGTTCTGAAATCATGGCCATTCATTTCATGTTACAGTTTGGTAATAGATGCCACATTAAACAGAAAGCGAGTAAGAGTTTCAACTTTGAAAACACACATTACCAGAAGAGAGACTAGGAATATTGTTTTTGCGGCTGGAGTACATCCTTTTAAATGATATACATAATGAGTTTATAATATGCATCTGGGCTACCTCCTTTCTACTTTGATGTCTTCCAAATGGCCCGGGTGTCATCAGCAAAACATGTAGGCACTTTCCCGCCTCATTGACTCCCAAATGTATTTTAAATATCATTCCTGGTAACGCAATTATTTAAAACGCTGAACTAAACACTTACTAATGGGGAAAAAGACAGCCACTTCGATAAATTCATTTCTCAAATGGTGGGCATTCATGTTTAGTTTTTTTTTCTTTTTCCCCCCTCTGTGAAGCGGAGGCAACTCTGATGACAACAAAAAAGCATCAGCAGTCACAACACCCCCTGCCCTCACAGCCCCCCATTGACATATTAGATCTTTGGTTTCTTCACATTACCCACCAGTAGCTGTCTCTCCTTGGTTTTTCTGCATCGTGGTCAACCACCTTCCTTTCCCAGGGGCAGAGAGAGGCTGGACATCAGCAACAGCCCTGATGAGGATGAACCACTTCATTTGTGCAATCATAGGCAATTAGTTCCCTATGATTATGAGGCTCTTAATGCTATTTTGAGTACTGTGGCACACAGTAACACAGAAAGAGATTAAACTATAGCCCTCCCACCATACTGAGCAGCCATTCAAAATACTGAGAACATAATGAAATGTACACAGTAATTACAGTGATATTAAACGCTAATGCGTTTGCAATTGGATCTGTTGTTAGTTTAAGATGGAGTCAGTGCAACTAAAGCGAGTCTCAGTTTAGGGACTGTGTTATAATGGCAGCGGTGCCCTCAGTTTTACATCAGGTGTTTCTTCTTACATTGATTATCAGGAGTCACTGGATCGTTTCTGATATTCTGAATACTCTGTGCCTATAAGCAAGCAATTAGTAAGCAATTTCCACGTTTCAGCTCACGTCTGAAGGGAGCTGAGGAGCAATGGGGTCTGAAGTTCACTTTCCGGTGCAGGAACATCTCTTGGGTCACCATGGAAACATGATAAGAGATAATGAGGATGCTTAATTGGCTGATGACATTATGAGAAGCTTGTTGCTGCCTTTATGTGATTCGTCATCTGGTCCTGATCTGCTTCTACTCTTGCATTTAACTTTATGGACTTGCTCATGCAGGCAGATGCAGTCTGCTTTGAGAGTTTTTTTGTCTTCAGAGTGCCTCTGATAAACTCTAAATGCCTCTTAGGAGTCCACAACAGGATGCTGTATTTGTTGCTCCTACTTGGATCTCATCACAATGCTTGAGATGTTGGTGAGAAACCTAAATTAATTGATGGAGTCTTGAATAGAAAAGTAACTCCAAACTGTTCAGTGAAGGCTTGATTACTTTTTCTGTACTCTTCCAGCTCTGAGCCCACTACCTATAATGCATTGTATCGGCCTTTGCAGATTCCAATTGTCTCTCAATGCACTGATCACCACGCAAATAGCCTTCTGTTTCATCATGACAATTGAGAGGTTCATATTTCAACCTAATAGTCCTTCATAACTTTAACCATCTATCACAACCTCATTTCATTGCAGTTGCAGTTAATACGCGCTTCCCTGCCAAGTGGAACATTTTCTAATGATGCACTCTCACATGAAAACAAGGCAAGTCATCCCAGGCTCTGCATCACTCACTAATGCACCCATCCATAATGTGTTCATCGCACTCTGCCTAAAGCAGACAGCAATGACAACTACAAGACACGGGCACGAGAGGGGATATGGGGAAGGGTGCAAAATGCAAAACCTAAATGACCAGGATAATCATGAGCAAAGTAAGTGCCATCAAAGACTGTATCACCCTCATAATAACATCTGTAGATTTCGTATCATTACCAGAAAAACTGAGAAACATCTGAAATGGATATCTCAACAATAACAGTCAGTGGAGTCACACCCAAGTGCATTCTCACAGTCTGCGTGGCTTTGTGAGATGTTGATAAGAGACGTCTAATAGGTGTATGTAAAGGCTGATGTAAACAGCATCCTAATTAGAGAGACCTTTATCAGTTCCTCCATTTTATGCAGATTGAGCTGGCGCAAACGCTTGTGTCATTATGCCGTAATCAAGTTCCTTTCAGTGTCGTCTTTTAAAAACCTGATTAAAATGCAAAACAAGGATACAATGTTGCATTATACCCTCTGTCAGTTTATCCAGATATTTAATCTTTTTAAAGGATAGCTTAATAATGACCTTTTGCCAGTGTCTACATGAACATCATCAGGGGTGAAGCAATTCAAAAAGCAGAACACTGCTGTATTTTTGCATATAAGTAGTTGTGCACTTGTGTATAATTACACAGATAAATTATTCAAAGCAATTCAATAGATTTTCTCCATTTGAAAAATTGAGACTTAATATACTAATTTTATCTCTGACCCTTGATTTGGATTTTTGTAGATCGCAAAAAGACATACATCCAGCTGTAACAAATGCAATTTATTAGAGAATATAATATAAATTTTCCTTCAAAACTCGCAAAACAGAGATACCATGTAAGGCAAATTTCTGTGGTCCAACACACCAAAGCACAACTGTGACTGACATTTCACATGTGACATGAAAATATATCTTCAGGGGAATATTACAACACACAGCTTTTACAAATAGATTTTTAAATCCATGTGAAGAGTGCAGAAAAGAAACATCGGCAGTAGGGTAAGTCACTCATCTCTCACAGAAATCAGTGTTACAGAATCTTAGTTGAATTTATGTCTCAAGTTGTCTGTTGGATGCATTTGCCTGCATGCACAATCTCTAATTGGCAGAATATTTAACAAGCAGCCACCTGTTTAATTCCTCAGCTGTTAGCACTGCTGTGCACCCAGAGCACACTCAAACACAGGTGCTGCATTTGATCTTAGTTTGATCAGTGTGGATGATCATCCGCTCAGGTGGTGCTACTTTATGAATTAGAATCTAAATAATTTTAAAAATCAGAGAAAGCATTTCACAATAACCCACCCCATTACAATGGGGTGTACAATGTACGTTAAAGCATTCCGGCTGTAGTGGAGATTTATCAACCACACTAGTGTGTTAAATTGATCTGAGAAGTGATCTTAATTTGAAATTCAACTATAACCATCCACAAAAACTATATAGTGATTTGTACACTTGATTTAGCCTTAGCTTATGTCAGGGAAGCACAATTTTTCTTAAAATTGACTCACTCTTATGGTGTTGTTTTCTTTAAAATGTGGATAGTTACTCAGTATGAAACTGGGATGGAAAAAACAACTATGAATTGCAACTCGAGCCTTAGTTGAATGATTTTAACCAAGAAAAAAAGTCTTCATGCAAATCTTTTATTGTTGCAGCTCTTTCATTTGTGTCCCACAGAGGATTCATGAAGCACTGAGCACTCCACAAACGTACATGGTCACCATCTAGTGGTTGATGTGGGCTGTGAGGAATTTTTGACAAAAAAAAAAAAAAAGAAAAAGTCCAGGAAAGGAAATATTTATTCAAGTGAACGATAAGTGAATAATTAACAGTTGAAAAAAATAAATATATAGGCTACATTTATTTGGAGCTGGTGTACTTGGTAACGGCCTTGGTCCCCTCGGACACGGCGTGTTTGGCCAGCTCCCCGGGCAGCAGCAGCCTCACGGCGGTTTGCACCTCCCTGCTGGTGATGGTGGAGCGCTTGTTGTACTGAGCCAGCCGGGACGCTTCTGTGGCAATCCTCTCGAACAGATCGTTCACGAAGGAGTTCATGATGCTCATGGCTCTACTGGAAATCCCCGTATCCGGATGGACCTGGGGAACAGGCAAAACGACTGTTAGCACTTCTGGAGATGCGGACAAGCGGCGACCCGAGCTCGTCGTGCTGCCTTCGCCTGCCTGTTTCAAAACTTTATAGATGTACATCGCGTAAGTCTCTCTTCTCTTTGCTTTTCTTTTCGTCTTTTTCTCGGTCGAGCTTTTGCCCTTCTTCCTCGATAAATCGTTGCTCATTTTTTTTTTAACCGTCAAACCAGTAAAGGCACCGGGGTTTCCACGCGACACCAAGCTGTTTAAAAAGCGGCGCCCTAATTAGTGAGAAATTTAGTTCACCTGGTTTCTTTTTTTCCAGCTCTGGCCTCCGCACTAGGATTTATTAGTCACCAAAACTTTGAACAAAATTACTTTTAAGAGCGTTTTTTTTAATGAAAGAAGTATTTAAAATTTTCCACTATGTTCTGTATTGTTGAATTTGATCTCTGGTGTCTGTGGACATCGTTGCAAGCAACAAAAGGGTCCACTGGGTGGCACACTTCTACCATTTTTAAAAGGCGACTAAATGCTCAAACAGCAGCGACATTAAATCAAAATCCATTTCATTCTCACCACTAATGCATTCCATCTTCTGGTTGCTGGTAATGTAAACAGCTTGAACCCTAGTCTGCTTTATTTGATAACTCCATATACACCAACGTCTTCTGCTTTATTGAAGGCAAATACAACAATTACAACAAATCATAACAATAAAGTATATTGATTGATTAAATTAATGAATTAAGTTTTGCGCTTGAGGCTATATTCCAGTTATGTGATAATGATTTCCTCTGTAAAAATTCTCAATATGCTTTATTCAGACGCTGTCCATTCAGTTTGTAAATAACCTCACATTAGTATAAGTGCACACTGGTAGCAGCTGGTAATAGAGATGAGCTCACAGCAGGGGTTTTTCTGCCCTATTGGTGTTAAAAGCAGAACAAATTTCAGTCTAGATGGTGTTGGAGTTTTGCCTGTGGAAATGTGAGTGTTTGTAATAGCATGCCTACATATCAGGGGTCTTTATAACATCCTGATGAGAACCGATAAAGGAAAAAAAAAAGCCTTTCTAAAATAATATTAATTTTTTATACTGCATAAAACTGATGGGTCTTGCCAGTTGGCATTTTCCAGACCTGACACACAAACAGAACAAATGAAAACACTGAAAACAACGAACAACTTTTTTTGAAAAAGTCATTCCACCTTTCTAAAATGGGAATATTACTTTTACTTCTTCTGTTAATGTGTCCTCCATACTTTGCCCTCACTTATGAACAGACACTTATCTATGCTAGGTCATTTTCAGCTGATAGCTCACGTTTAATGTTTACCATGAGCTTTTTCTTTATTTTCTGCTTTCTGGGTTTTTGCAGTATTAACATTTAATTTATGTAGAGAAGAATAAAAGGCAAGTGACTGTGTCTACACATCTGTTGCTTCACTTTAACTCTCTCACAGAACACAGAGACACATTGACTGTTTTTTTTATCCCCTTCTTTCACATTAACATGTTACTTGAGGCTATAGGGGGTTCTGTTTATTTTATATCTGCAGTTTATCTTTTCTCTAATTTTAGAGAGAAAAGCCTCACTTGAGTTTCTGTTTTTATGTGCCCTATAGGAAGCAAATGCAAATGCCTCTTGCATGCAAGTTTGCATCAAACTGATTTGTGAAAATGAATTTTGCCCGTTATTGAAGTAGTTACTCAAACATGTCATGACATCCAGTCATCTTGGCAATAATGGATGGAATATATCCCAGAAAATTGGCCATGGAAATGCAGTAAATGCTGTCTGGGAAATATTGGGAAGCAGAGCCAGTAAGGGTGTGCACTGTAAGGAAGATTCTGGTTACCACACCATAACTATTGAAATTGGGTTAAACAAAAAAAAATGCATGCTGACTGTGTGAATTGGTAAATTAAAAAGCTTTTTAGTGTTATTGCCATGCATTTGTAGATCTGGCATTTTACTTGTGCATGTTTGAAAATTAACAATCTGCTGTCAATGCCTAATTTGAGTGAGTGCATGTTTTAGCCTTATTTTGTCAGACTGTCTGGCTGTTATGAATGCACTTTGTAAAGAGCATAAACTGAGGATACTGTGAAGATTTGTATGGTAAACTCAAAGGCTCCAAGAGATTAAGGGATTTTGCAAAGAAATCTTTTTGAATTTAGTGATTGTATAAGAATCTAATCAGAGGGAGTGGTGTGACGTAATTGAAGAGAGAAAGTCCAGTGTCCAGACTAATTTCTGTTTAATTTTTTAAGAGGCCCAATTAGTTGGGAAGCACTTCTTTTAAATGTGCTGATGTCCTAAAATAATATCTTAAAGGGGTTGGGGGGAGTTATCTAACAGAAGTCGTCTCGGTGATACATCCCAGGGTGCTCAAGCTTTATAATTCTGAAAGCCTTAAATTGAATCCACAATTGCCTTGTTGCTGAATCTACTTCATAGTAGTATTTTTTCACTCCTCACTGTAAGAGTAGTGTTAACACATTCAATTGTTTTTTTTTCTTTATTACTATTGAGACAAACATCATCTGCTGTAACTACCGTCATGTGTGTTTCTTGAGTTCAGAGTTAGTTTGTGAAGTTTGATATCTGGAACAGAACTATGTTTTTATTTATGAAAATTCCTCTTTCCTGTGTGCTTGTATTTTTCTAATGTCAGGTCTTCGTAATATTATTATGTGTACCCTTAAGCTGAAATAGAAAAGTGGAGAAACTGTCTTTTTTTGCTGTGTTTTTAGTCAGATGTTGAGGTGTTATGCACCATAAGTCACAGTCACAATGGGCTACACAAATTGCCACACAAGGCTTTTAAGGAAATTTTCTGCTTCGTTTCAGTCATAGACTAGTGTTTTGTTTGTTGATTCTAATGATTTAGATATTTGTATTAGCGTGTTTTAAACACTGCAAGAAAACCAAGGTCTTATATATCTTCTCAAATAGTTTAATCACTGCTTATGATTGTATAATTGTGTTTTAATGCACGTGCTACCCTATGCAGTGTAGTACAGTAGATCTGCAGGTCATGCTTTAAATTATGATATATGTGCTCTTAAATGTCAGCGGCCTTAATGCTGCATTCAGTTATTCATGGGGTAATACGTATTCTGGGGTACTTGCCAAATCAACATAACTTGGCCCTTACATAGAATGACTTATTGTAATTGCTCCATCTAGTGCTGCATCATATCACTGCAGTTTCCTTGTCATTGGAATTTCTTGCTGACCTGTTGTTATGATGGCACATTACTTAACACTTTACACCATTTAGAGCTGCATGGGGGAAACGGCTGCGACAGCAAGGCACTGTTTCGATGTTCATGTGCAAAATCCGCAGTGTTTAGCATGTTTCATGTTTCTGGATAAATTAAAATTATGATATAATACATTTCTATTTGTTTATTCTTTGAAACACCTCAGAGCCTGGCATCGGATTGCTCTCTCGCCGGGTGGGCTGTGGCCAGCGGCCCCTCTGCACGCATAGCTGAGCAGATCTGGGAAACCTGGGCTGCGGGTTTACACTCACCAACACACCTCCTCAAGCATCTGTATCATTATTGCAGTTTTGAGATGCTCAGTACTGTCCTTGCAGCCAGTGTTGTTGCTGCCGTTGGCTTTTGTTGCTTTTGTTTGTTGTGTCCATTTGAAGGTGCTCCTAAAGGTTCTCTGTCCGTATTGCCTTCAAGGAAATACAGGATGTTTTTGTTTCTTTTGTATACAGTAGACACAGCAGGTTTTGTTGTCTTTTTTTTTTCTTTCTGTCTCTGCCCAAAGGATCTCTGTCTTTTTTGGGTTTGCTTTTCTTTGCTCTTCTTTCTTCCCTGTCCCTCTGTCAGGTATTATTATTGAATATATGTACAATTTTGCAACAAAAATAGATAAATAAAGCAGCGTTGGATAATCAAGGGGGGCTTTTCACCAATTAAGCCTCCCTTTGCAAAGCAAATGTGTTCAGCATAGCACGGTACTTAGATTTCAGTTCTGCTGCCATAATGCTTAACAGGACAAGGTTAAAAACTAAAAGAAAAAAGAAACAAATATTGCTCTCCTGCCATTGTCAGCCCAATTTCAAGTGGAAATCGGCTGGAGAATTTCCTTTAGTCTAAATTTGTTAAACAATTTGTCATCAGGAATTCCCTTGCACTTAATGTTTTTCAAACCTGGTAAAAGGCTGACCTCTTTTTATGAATCCTCTGAAATATGATTTTATAGATATGTCTGCTACTTTAGATAGTTGGATAATTAGTCTAATGTTAGGAATTGTAACCACAGTGACAAGTACATTTAGTAACTGTATATCACTGCTGTGTTAGGTGTCAGTCATGACGCATAACACAGCCTACAGGTATCTGAGGTTTGAAAAATGTGCAGACCACGAGCTGATAAAAGCAATGTTGAACGCTCCTTTTAGGAGGATATGGCGCTATGCAGCGCCTCAAATGCTAACACCCCCCAACTTATTAATATTCACTGCATTATGCTGTGCATTCACCATCTACTTGAGAGCAAATTACTATTGAGAAGACTACAAAGTCCATCCTATAATTTGCAACAACAGGCAAGCCTCCTCGTGTAAATGTTGAATTTGCATTTGGTAACATTCACACAGGAAAATGTACGTGATGTAAAGAAAATGGAATTAATATTGCATGACAAATATTCGTATTACATTTCGACATGGCAATTTATGCAGAAATTATGCTGAAAGTCTTTGCAACCTAAATATTTACTGACACACATTTGTATTGTTTTCACTGAAGATGATTCAATTATCTATGAACGTCTATCTTAAGTGAAATAGGATGTAAATAAAAAATGGGCATTTAAATTTCAATTTATACTTAATCTTTGGAAGTATTGCAGATGTTTTTCATCTCAGTTTGATTAAAATCTATGGTCAAAAAGATACTTGACTGATATAAAAGAAGGCTTTTAAAATGCTCTTTTCAAGTGTTTGAATTGTAATTTTCTGTCCAATCCTTCATATGTTAATGTGAGTGTCTAGATATAAAAATTCATAGTCCAACAGGACACTAGGATGATAACCTTCGTTTCGTAATTTAGTAAGATTCGATTCCTCCAGCTAGACTGAAAAACAAGCAAGTTAAAAAATATATGTCATAGAAACTTGCTCTGTTCTTCATCTCTGTTCTCTTTGTCATCCAACCAAACTTTTTTTTTTTTACTATCATCATTTTAACTGAATTTAAAAGAACCGTTAAAAGTGTTAAGTCAAGTTCAGCTTTGAACTTTGCACATGCTAATTCTGCTTTTCTCTTTTCCCATAAACGCTTAAAGAAGACTCACTTCTACTGTTAAACCTAATTAAAATTGACCCTGGAAAAAAGAAACCAGCAAACATGTTGGCATGACAGTGAAGGGAAAAAAAGATTTTGTGTTAGTCAGACCAAAGCTGTGCAATTGAAATCCATAGATAAATTGTTCCTCTATGAAGCTGCAATAATTTTAATATTTTTCTTTCTTTTGAGAGAAGGCTCAATGCAGAAACTTTAAAGCAGCTTATAAAGATTGCATGTCAGGTATTTCCAAACTGTTTGATAGAATTATGAATTTATAACCACAACAAAGTCTGACACAACTATCATTCAGGTCATATAAATATAACTTCACAGAAGACTCTATGTACAAAAAAGAGGATTTCCCAAATAAAGTGTCTGATCATATGGTCTGTAGAGTGGCAGCTTTGGCCCTTCTTTGGCCCTTCATACATTAATTCCCATGAATGTATGCAGGGACAAAGGCATGGTCTAGTTAGATGGCTAGGTTTACCCAGGTGCTCAGCTCAGGTGTTCATTTAACCATGATGAGTGGGAGCTTTGGAGGTGCATAGGAAATCTGACAGCAGTGCCATATTTTCTTTCGTTCCATTTCGCTGTCAAACCTTTAGACGTCTCACCACCCCTTTTTCAGACTGTTATTCTCTCCGTTAATAGTATTTTAAGATATAGAAAAATAAGTTTCTTCCTTTTAAAGTTGTTGGCCCTGTAACTCCTGCCATAATCCTTTCTACCATCTGCTCCACCCTCGCTGTCGCTTCTATCTCCACCTTTCAGACCTTGTATAACAACATCTGTAATATAATGGACTTTCACTTAGATATGAAATTCATTTATCAACCATTGTACATGTTCAGTGAATATGCCACAGTCTGTCTGTTTTCCAAGGGTAACCTTACAGCATGCAACAGCTCAAGGACAAAGAGTGTGCTGCTAAAACATTTCTCAAGAATTTTTGTGACAGGAGTGTGTCAGCATGAATGGTGAAAATCTGACAATGTTTGGTTTGGAGGGACTTTTTCTAATGAATCAATATTGATGTGAAAACACTACTGAATTTATCCCATATTCCAACCAAGATGATCATAACTGTATGTTGATACTCTTACTAAGCGTTCATGCATTGTTGAGCTTTTTCATATTACCAACGATTGTTATTACAATAGTCCATATGAAATGAGAAAGCTAACATTAAAAGACGATTGTATAATTCTTATACAAAATAGCATTTCCTCCCACCCATAAATTTCTCCTGATACTGTTATCATCTTGGGCACATTAGGTCCGATTACAGTCACGCCCTAGTAAATCAACCAGTCAAAGCCTTCGAAATGAGTCTTTAATTGAGTGTTTTTCTCAGTGATGTCTGTCATACGCACATGTTCAAAGCTGATGGTGAATTAGCAGGAGCATTGAGACAAATCCATACTTGATTTCTGCTTCAGGCAGTGAAATGCCTCCTCACCCAGGGACATTTAGACTGTCTGTGTTTGTCAGCAGCAGGTATGTTTGGCACCGTTTGCTAAACGGGCAACGAATCATCCATCATTGTGCTTTCTTATATCATTATTCATTCTCAGTCATGACTGAATGCAAAAGAAGCAGAATCATTTACATTACAGCGGTATGGGGAGTAGAAAACCCTTGTGGTGGTAGTCGAAAAATAATCTCAGAATCAAACAGCTCACTTAGGCCAATGGCATTACAACATGTACGCTGTGGTAAAATGTGTTGAAGCATCAGGAATGATGTGACTAAAGTGTTAATCCCACTATGACTGTTGTGGGCAGCTTTTGCTGCATAGTCCTTTCAAATACCCCATCCACAATTATGGTAAATACTCTCGAGCCTCTGCAACTGCTATATTTTAGTAGTTAGATTGAAAACCCCTATAGTGTTTCAGGTCACACTTTACATATTTGAAAGTTCTAGCCTCCTTTCAATTGGATCGTATCCATTGTAATGAATTATATTTTTTGGTGCTGTCCGTTTGCAGATTGCATTTAAAAAAATCTTGTTTGATATGATGCTTGAGGCTCATGGTGCTTTTGTTAGGGGTTAATTAGGTCTGTATACTCAGTTACTGGGGAAAATATAAATTAGATCCTTAAAGGTGGTGGTCATATCCTTGGCAGTTCACTTGTTTTGATAATATGTCATTCCTGGTAGCCATGAGCAATAATATTGTTTGCTCCTTGGAGAAATTAAAGGGCTTCTCAGAACAACATGGGGAAACTTTTAACCCCAATAAAATCACTGCTTCCATTACTGGTCAAGCCTCTTATGTAGCCAGGACCCATACCTTCAGAGAGCTTAAGTCAGAGTGTGAAATTGTGTGGGTATTACATTTAGAAGTACAAAAATACAAATGAGAATGAAGGGAGAAATTGTCACCACACTGTCAAAAACAGACAAAATCTAAATGTTACAAATCAAGATATAATTTAGACAACATTTTTTTAATTATTTTGGTGGATTTGGATTATTAAGAAAACAACTGTTCTTGCATACACAATGCATGTTTTAGTATGTCAATGCAAAAAGAAAGCAACCTGTGGCTTTTACCAAAAGCAAACAAGCTGGCATCTGAGGGGCAGCTGGGTAAGATTAGAGAATAATACAAGGGTGAAAGTGGTGGCCAGATTGAGAGACTTCCCCTTTGAGTACAGACACACAAGCAAAGCAGCCATTCAGCAGTGGGATGGATCCTGACTACTAAAGAGGAAGAGGGAGAGAGAGGAAAGCTGAAAGAGACTGAGACTGAGCAAGAAATGGGGGAGTGGTGGGAGAGAGATAGGAGGCGAGAAAGAGAGTGAAAAGCTCCACACGGCAGAATATAAATCTGTATGTTAACAGGACTAAGGCACGGGGGTCTTGAGGCGGCTTTAGTGGTGATGCTGGTGGGGGGTGGTTATAAAGCATCAAGAGGTGGTCTCCCTTATTAACTGAGGATCTGTGCAAAGAAGGAAGTGGAACCCGTGGAATCTATGAACGCCGGTTGTCAAGCACAGTGGTGGGCTGGTCGGAGGTCTCTGACCCCCTCATTTTCAATTCTTGGAAGAAAAGAGAAGCGCTAAAGAGACACCAGAGAAAAAGGAAGGTGGCAGCGAGGGACCAGTGAGGCATTTCTCTCTTTATTACCTTCATTCACAAAACCATTGCACCCCATTATCACAGCGATGTAGAGGCATTCTCTCCGATTGGAGGAGGAAAGGTCCCATTGACTGCTGAGGCTCTCTCCAAACGCTAGCTCTTTTCATCGCAGCCCCCCTCTCATCTCTCGCTTCAATCCCTACATCTGCTGTTTTTCTCCGTTCTCCCTCTTGTTGTCCCCTTGTTGCCTTGTTCCTTTTCATACGAGCCACGTATCAGGAGGCATTGCGTTTTGGTAGAAGTGGGTGTTTCTGTCATTGTGTTTGGAGCCTCTACAAAGGACAGCTGAGCAGGGAGTGTGAGAGACAGCTTTGGAGATAATAAAACAGTAGCCTGAAAGAAGAGGAGGGGGACCTGGGACTCCAGGAACCGCTGACAACCATTGGCATGTGAACTGTGCTAAAAAGAAAACAGTAACAGACTGTCAGCCTCTATAAGGTATCTATTCATTGAGAACATTGAACCTTCTTATGGGGGAGGAAGAAGCAGTGTGACAAACCCTTACTGCTGGTTAGCTTCTGCTGTTCCTGTTGCTAAGCAAAGTCTCTAACCTGAACTTCTCGGGGATACACTCCTGAGTATCACTCCTCAACCATGAAAGGAAGCTCAGAAGAAAGCATTGAAAGCGTCCGACCCTCCAACCTGCAAGCTTTTGCCAATATATCCACCCTACATGGCATGAGCCACATATTTGCCTATGGGCACATGACATTCCGTCGATTTCTCTGGACTCTTTCATTCCTGGGTTCACTAGGCTTACTGATGCTGGTCTGCATGGATCGAGTGTCGTATTATCTAGAGTATCCTCATGTCACCAAGCTGGATGAAGTGGCAGCAACCAACCTCACCTTCCCAGCAGTTACATTTTGTAATCTTAACGAGTTCCGATTCTCCAAAATCACAAAGAATGACCTTTATCATGTGGGGGAGCTCCTTGCCCTCCTCAACAATAACTACCAAATAGCTAACCCGCACTTGGCTGAGCCTGAGATTCTGGCTATCCTAAAAGACAAGGCGAACTTCCAGAACTTCAAGCCCAAACTCTTCAACATGACTGATTTTTATAACCGAACAGGTCATGACATCGGCGACATGCTGCTACAGTGCACCTTCCGAGGAGAGGATTGCTACGCAGTGAATTTCACAACAGTGAGTAGCCAAGCTGTCATTTTTGGGTCTGCTGTTCTGTTCCCTGCCACATTTAAATGCAGTTTAATTTATGATCAGATGTGTTTCACTGTGAATTGTGCAGTTGATTTGAGATGGTTACCGGACATCAGTGGTTTTGCTGCTGCCGGATAAACCAATATACTGTGGTTATTTTATCCAAGATGGTCTTGAAGGGCTTGGTCATCAGTGCTGCCTTGTATTCTGAAACACGTTAAGTTTTTGATGTGAAATGCTGCCATTATTTGACAGTGATCTCTGATTACACACTGCCTTCCGGGAAGGCAGACAATCTTTTGTGAGAAGCAGTTTGTGTTATTGCATCTTTACCAAAGGGTTTGACTACAGTTAGATAGGCAAACGGTATGCACAGAAGTAATCCGACAGATACCTGAACATTTATATTTAAATTAGGACCGTTTGTTCCGTCTTTGTAGCATTGTAGAGTTTAATGGTGCAAATATTCCTCACCTCTACTCGATGTTAACAGTTTAACTAATTTAGAAGGGAACAGCCTTGACCGATGTTTAAAGTGCTCACTTGCAATCAAGAATCATGAAGGTGACCACTAAAAAGTTTGCTGTACCAAGGATGAACACTTTGGTTTTTAGCATATGGACCTTGGCAGATGATTTTGCTAATATTGTAGGCTGCAACATGGGATCTCACTGGATTGAATGTCTTCTGACAAATTCTCTGGATGCTTGATCTGATTGGGATTAGGGGATTTTGGTGCTGTATTAATGCTTTTAGGTCTTTGCTGTGTTCCACAAGTTTCTTATTGGCCTCAAATCTGGGCTTGGAGCATTGTCCTGTTGGGGTGAAGCAGGATTATTCAGGAGGCTATCTGTAACAGATTAGGCAGGGAGAACTTGTCAAATTGACATCCAATTATATGCATAGCATTTCCCTGCAGAACATGTCCCTCTAATGAGATGATCAATGTTCTACACTTAACCTCTCTTAGGTTCAGATGATGTGGTTGATTGGTGCTTGTTATTAGTAAATCCTTTTATTTAAAGTTGTGCAAAGAGAGCATGGGGAATTCATGATGATCCATAACTCAAAAGTAATTTCAAATCCAAAATATGACACAATCTCTGGACACTGACTCTGAGACACACATGTATGCATTTACATATATTGCATCAGACCTAAGCGGGTTAAGAGCAGAAGGACTCTAGTCAGGATGGATGATGTCAGATAATGTGTTTGGACAGTTTAAAACACACACATACGGCATTTGTGTCATGCAGTTATTGTTAATCTGGGTATTTTGAGGGTTGGGAGGCTTCATGCTGTAAGTCAGCAGTAATAACTACGACATAAACAAGTAGTTTGCTAAACTATTTTTCATTCTGATTGATCAAGATGTTTTAGGAAGTTTTACTATTGATCAACAAGTTTTTACAAATAAAATTACTTGTATTTTTTTATTCCTATTCCTAGTATTTTTGTGTTATCTAAAGCTATGATATGTTTTATTTCATTTCGCACCTTAAGGAACAAAAAGCAGATAATAAAGCTCTTCATCTGTTCTCCATAGCCTATTCTTTTATTTACTTTTTACCAGATACTTTAAATAATGTGTGTGTTGTCTACTGCTACTCTATCAATCTCTCCATGGATCATTTGGAAATAAGCACCATTCTCTAATTTTGCACATCATATTGGATCTCCCTCTGCTTATGCATCCAGGCTGATTCATTAGATGTGGACCACTAGTATAAACTAGCCAGTTGGCCACTCATGTCTTCCTCATGAGAGATGACTTCCCCCCAGCTGCAACCTACACAACTGGAATAGCATTTTTGAATGAATATTTCCAGTAATATTTTCATAATTCAATGAAAGTTGCCAGCATCAGTAATTAAACTGGCTAGTGGATTTCTTTAAGCATCCTTAACAAAAGTAGTATGAACATTTGTGGGTTTTTTACGTGTTAATTACATATTTTATCTAAACATGTTCCTGATTTGCGGATATCCTGAAATGATTTTAGTCATATTTGAATTTCCTTTCAGAATAACTGTAAGCATTGTATGGCAGTGCTCTACTGGAAAGACAAATGTAGAACAAATTCTAAGAAACAAAATCATGCCAGTAAAAATGGTTATCATCCCTCTCTTTTGAGTATAATATTTGTATGCATGTATTCAATTCATAGTCAGATTTATTTTATGGACAAACACAAGATACAATATATTTGCCATTAAATTGTACTCAATTTTTGCTGAAAAATAAGGTAGAATTGGTTGTGCATTAAATTAGAATGTGGCCATCAATTAACATTGAGAGTAAACACGTCTTTTTCAAGACAAGGACCTTTACATGCAGTTATTTATTGACTTGCTGTAATCATGGAGATCCTTGTCCAAGACTCTGTAAATTCCACCTGAGTTGATGATAGACTGCAGTGCGCAATCATAAGGTTGATTATTGTAATCAGTTGGTGTGGATGGGGATTCATTCTTAAGTCTTGACAGGTCATGACAAGTCCTTCTTGGCTTTATTTCTGTTCATTTCCACAGAGTTTAAAATCTGTATTCATCACCACATTTAGCTGAAACTCAGTCTTTAAGATGAGAATCATCTTTCATCTTATCATCCAAATGACAGCAGGGTTCTAGAGGGATAAGACACACTTACAGCTGAGACTGACACAGCGTGACTTGTAGACCTAAGCGTGGATGAAAATGTTTTTTAGGGATGGCTCTTTAACATTTAAAGGATATTTCTTCTTTCTGTAAAAGTTCCATGGAGTGTACTTCCTTGCTGTCTGGCTTGTCTGCTGTTTGAAATGACGCGTTACTAACTTTAAATGCACCCAAATATAAAAGGAAGTATTTGCATGTTTCCAGACTCCTGTTACATTTACAACTCAGAAACTTCCTTGTGACATAATTTCTACAACCTCTTCAATGACCTGTCACAGTGACTTTTAATGGTTGATTTTTCACGGCGGTGCATGGCTGGAGCAAAAGCATGCATTTTATTGAACACGATTTTCACGCTACATGGAGTGACCACTAATTCTTTTCAGAGCACAGCTTTTTGTCTTTCATGAAAAAGGACGTTTTTTTATGTTGTTTTGCTAGGCGACTAAAAGTGAAAGAAGACTTTGTTCTAACACTAAAGTGGCACATGTCTAAATCACAAGAGAATCTGTGTACTGGGAGTAGTGATAGTACAATGAGGGGTAAAGGCAGTTAAGCTGACAATTTTTTGTTTTTGTGAAGAGTCACCCTCCCAGAAAAGACTCTTCTTCATTTGAAACTAATTATGAACCTCTTGGAGTTAAGAGGTATGCAGAGCTATCCTAGAAGCTCCTAAATATTAAGAATTAGATTACTGAAATGATCATGTCATTCCCACATTTCTTAGAAATATATACTATTAACATAGAAGCTATTGTATGCTATTGTATGTTTTATATAGGCTTTTGGAATATAGCTCTCGAGAAGAAATTTCTCCTCTGTCAAGGAGTCTTTGTTGCTTCCATTGAGCTTGGTGTTTGTTGATAGCAGTTTGTGTGATCTGAGTTGGCAGAGTTAAATATCACAGTTCAGCAGATGGTGATGCAGAATCTGGTACTAATACCTAATAGCTATCTGCAAAAAACTGTAAAATGCATCTTTAAACACATTCACATGAATAACAAAAATATTTAAATCCTTCCTAAGTAAATATTCTCATCATTTCAATTATATTAGCAAACATCTGATAATTTCTTTATCATAATTTCATTACAAGACTTGTAGAGCATTAGTTTGTTTCACCAATTGATTCATGAAAGTCCGTGGTAGCTCAGATATCCAACAACTCAAACAAACCGATCGGGGATATTGCTGTTTTGTTCAGTTGGCTTGTGTAACAAAGCTACCCTCTGATTTTAGCTTCCTGGAGCAAATGGACTTTAAATCTGCATCCCAAACCCCATTGGGCTTAGTAAAATAAAACAATTATTGCAAGTAAACAGGCTAACAAAAAATAATACATCTAGAAAAATCCAGACTGAGATGTTCCACTGGCTGACATTTTAGTATCTCACTGAATCAAGTATTCCCGTGCTCTTTAATAGATGGTTTGGTGGCATTTTAAGTATGCACTGCCCATAGGAATATTTGAGTTGGTGCATTGCACAGGTGGTTACTTAAGAGGCAAGCAAACACGTTAAGCTATTACTTTTATGGTTAAACGTCCCACACAAGTTATTTATAGCAACATGGTCTGTAAAACATTGTCACTTGGGAAATATGTTGGCAGCAAACAGATATATTTTGTCAAACAAGTCACCTATCAGCTCACGTAGGGGCAGATTTATATTGACGGAGACTTAGTTAAAAGGATTTACATCCTTGAGTGTGCATACACATTACTCTGAAAATTATGTTGATGCAAACAAAGTAGCTGCACTGGGATCTATGGTCTGATAAGAGCTGTGTCACCACTGGGATGTTATTTAGAAGGTCAACGTGCCCGCAGAATCATCTATTTTGCCATCAGACCATGTGACCGTGCTGTTCACATTAAACCTCACTTATATTGTTTGGCCTTTGTAACTTATATGACAGAGTGAGAAAGATGCAGAAAATCAGTTGATGTATCAAGATCATTTCTAAAAAAGTGAATATATATATTTTTTAAAATTACCACACTGGAAAATGTGACTTGCAGTAAATTCACAGCAGGCAGCCATGTGATGGTGTTTATATGCAGGCATGAAGCTGAGCTGAGGGATTTACTGTTTACTAATCTAAAAACAGCCAATTAATCACTGTCCATCTTGTTGAGCAATGCTGCAAGCCATCGTCTTATTTTCATTGTTGTTTGTGGTGGTAACTGCTGATATTATTTGGTAATCTGAGTTTAGCCTTCAACACACAACCTGCTCCCGGTTATTATCGCAGGGATAAATGTTTTGATCATTAAGAGGCACAATCCTTGCTATCGCAATGGAGAAAAGAAGAACAAGTAGAACA